AGAAACCCCAAAGGACACTGCAGGGAGACAGACAGGAACATTCCATCTTCTCCATAGCCTGAGTCTGAGTCTTATCAAGCTTTTCATCCATATTATTGACTGACAAATGTATTCCTCCACTGACTTAATTTTGGAGGAAAAAAATCCCAATGGTTCTAAAAATACAGATAAAGTCATCATCTAATTAGATTGCTTAAAATGGTCTGCCTGCAATCAAAAGGCCTGAGTCAGCTTCACAAGGATTTCACCAGAGTCTGTTCTCAATTCACTTTTCTTGTCCTGGAAACTAGAGAGAAATTGGAGCTGTTCTTAGCAGTCTTTGAGACAGAAGTGTCTCCTCTTCTTTTGAATTAACTGCTTTTCATGGCAGGCACTTGGGGGAACTTAGGGCATGGGCCTTGATATGAAGAAATGGGATCTAAACCTAGAGCTGGGGCCTTGAGAAAGTTAATGCCTCCAATTCTCATGGTTTTCATCCATAAAGGACTAGAAGCCCACTTGAGGGAGTTGTTGAGAGAACCACATTCCAGAAACAGAGAGTACTTACCATGGTGACCCAGTACTTGGTGCTCCAGATGTCGTACTTACCATCATTAGTGTCATCCATATCAGAAGCCCATGGAAAAATGAGGCCTGGTGAAAAGCAAAGGACCCTCAAGATCATAGTCTGGCATCATATCTTGAGAAGTGACTTCCAAAATCCAGTTGGAGGACTTGGACAAGTGACTTCACTACAGCCTCGGTTTTCTCATCTATCAAATGGAATGAGTAGTACACATTTCATGGTTTTCTTCAGAGGACTGGATGTGCCAAGGAATATAAACAATGCTCAGAAAGTATTACTTTTTTCAACCAGCACCTAGATAGGGTCTGGCAGATAGTAAGTACTCAAGATATTCAATATACATGTGGGATGCTTTTTTCCTTGAAATTTTCTCTTGAAAATCAGAAATTAGTTGGAGAAATCTCTTCCTTGTTTGTGCACATCTTCCTGGGGTAAACTTGAAGCTATTTGGAGTGATTTGAAATACTTGGGAGGATATTTAAAGACATACAAAGTCAGGGTTACCACCTCATTTTTCATTTTCTGGTACTTTTATCAACTAAACTTGTTAACAGCTTAACTCAAATGATTTGCTACACAACAGTAAAATACATTAACTTTGTTCTTTGATTAAAAACTTTTTCCAAAATTCTCTGCTGCTACACCAGGTGTACAACTGTTTACAGTCATTCTTCTCCTTATCTGCTAAGTTTTATCAAGGTTCATCCCTTTCCCTGATGGCCTAGGATTTGGGAAGATTACATAAATTCTTTCATGGTGAGAGAAGCATCTATTATGTCACTTCACTGCTATGACAGTTGTGAGTCAACAGCAGTGGAATTCTATAGCCCAGTGACATCTGAGAGCATGTTCTGAACTTGAGGACGCTTTGGAAACTACTTGCCAATTAATAAGCAGTTTCTTCTGGAATGTGGCAGAAACGAAAAAGAAATGCCATTACCTAATTGTCCAACTTTCCCCTTAGGCTTTACTCTGTTTGTTTTTCTTTTTTTGAGGTATTTCTTCATTCTTCTGACAAAGCATTCCTCTGATAAATCAAAGGTGATGTATTTTTTCCAACATATAAGAGCCAACTTGAGTTATCTAGCAAAAATTTAGAAATTGAGCCAACACCTAGTGATTTTTTCCCTTATTGTGCATATTCCTTAAATTCCTGGAATCAAGCTGACAGCATTTCTGAATTTCTTATATGTTTTTTCCATTAGATGAATTATTTCAAGACACCTGAACATTACAACATCAACGGTTATGCCATAAATTCTTCTAAAGAATATCTTCCTAGGGAAGGCCATTTCTTTATGAGGGCAGGCACATGTCTCAGTTAAAAAAAGAAATCACCAGAGGGGACTTCTATTTACAACTCAGTAGGATGAATGGTCCTTTGGTTACAGATTTATAAATTAATAGACAAAACTATTATTTAAGAATCAATCCTTCTTGGTATGTGTCCATTTCTAAAGTAGATATTTTAGAACTTTTTAAAAGGAGTTGTTTTTTCTCTTGTTTATATCTCTTAACTAACTTTGCACAAAATGGTGAGATTAGGCAACAAAGTTAAGATGGAATGAAGATTTTTTCTATTTATAAGTTGCCTACTCAGAGCTAAGTCATCCATTGAACCCTTCTCAAATAGATCTTGGGGAAGATTATCTTGCTTGAGTACATTACTTGGTAGTCTTGTTAAGCCAAACCAACTGCTTTATGTTGAAGCATTCATTCATTAAAAGACATAATAAATGCCTCCAGTGTCTGGATTATTCTGCTAGTTCTTAAAAATTACTAAGATGAATGAGATATGGAACTTGTTTGCTTTTGAGTACCACATAGCACATCTGGAAGGGTATGAGAGATTCTCACATTCCTTAAAAATATTTGGATGCTTATCACATCCTGGGCCCGCGCTATGGGTGGGCACATGGTAGGTAAAAATAGACATGTTTCCAGTTTTCAGAGAGCTTATGATCTAGTAGGGAAGACATCCCCATTTATTAAAGTACACAGTCAGCTATAATGGAAAACTATCTGAGGTTTAAGACATATCAAAGGTAAAGGTAATAATAGGATTTAGTAAAAAAAAAAAAAACTGCTGGAGATTAAGCTACAACCACAAACACAACTCAAAAACAGTCATGGGTGTAAATTCCTTTGTAAGCAGTTCATTGGATCAAACACTTAGTAGAAGACTGCACGTTGAGGCAACTGGGTCAGGAAGATGGATACAAATGCAGATTTGAGGCTGTGGCTCATGGGCTGGGTCTGGCTTCTCCTGACAATGCCTGATTTTTTCTATAAAACTTATAATTATACAGAAACAACTCCAGCAGGTGCATTGACTTAGACTCTCTCTATGACACACACTTATGACACCCATGGTGGGCTGAAGGATCTTCCCCCCAAAGACCTCTTTGTTCAAATCTCCAGAACCCGTGAGTGCTACCTTCTGTGGCAACCATGCCTTTACAGAGGCCATGAAGGAAAGCAGCATGAGGTGGGGAGATGAGCTCCAGGGCCTAATGTAACCTCAAAGGTCACTTGTGAAAGGCAGGCAGGGCAGAGAGAGGAGAAGGCGTTATGATCACAGAAGCAGTGGTTGGAGGGACGTGGCCAGGCCTACAGGATGCCACAGCCTCTGGAAGGAATGGAGTTGCCCATGGAGAATCCAGAAAACACCAGCCCTGTTTTTTAGCCCCTTAAGGACTCATTTTATAACTTGACCTCCGGGACCATAATAGAATAAATTTGTGTTATCTAAAACCACTAAGTTTGTGTTACAGTATTAGGCAAATAACTAATGAAACACCCTGTTGCTTAAGTGAACTACAAGGACCTGGGGAGTCTTTACAGAAAAGTTTGATTAGCATTTCCTAATTGCTGCATTCTTCTGTCACAGTTCTTCCTGTAAAAGCAAAATAATATTCTTCCTTCTCCTCCTCTCTCTTGGCTATGTTATCCACTCAGGGGAATGGAAAAATTAATTACAATAAATAATATGGGAAGAACTGCTCTTCTCTGCCCATGTCCTTTCCTATAAACTTCAGAATTTGATTTTCTGACCTATGTCATGTTAGAGGCAAACATGATCTAGACATAAAGCATTTTGAGTCATTCGTTTTATTTGTTTTTCTATTTGGCATCATCAAGAAAATCAGGGTGTTCATGTGGGGCAATGTGGGACTTTAAAATATATGATGGGGCCTCCCCTGGTGGCGCAGCGGTTGAACGCTGGCCTGCGAAGATGCCCGCAGCCTCTGCAGCGCCGGTTCCATCCCCAGCCACCGGAGAGGGTCCCACACGGCGCGCAGACCTCTCCTGCCACCCGCTGCTCCCCTCAGAAGTGTATTTCATCAGTCTATCTGTTCTGTTCCCCACTCTGGCTCTGGTGAATTCTCTCACCCTCCCGTGCTTCTGACTGTACCCAGTGCTTGTATAAATAAATCTTAAAAAAATAATAAAATAAAATATATGATGATCATTGGTCTTTGTTTTCTCACAAAGGATCATCAATGTGATGAGCTACCTGGCAGTAAGTATTTAAGTTCCTCTTAATTTGGAACGTAAACATTTCTTCAGTATCCACAGAAAGACCTAGTGTGGGTAAAGAAGGCTGTTCGCAGATCACACTGTAGGAGGGGAATATGGTACAAAATATGTTGTGGGCTTTTCTTTTGCAGTCAGCTATTAAATGGATGCATGCCCCCTGCAGCAGCAATGGGAAAACATGCATTCTTGTAATAAAGTAATGCCTTTATAATAATGAAAGTGGCTCTAGGAAGCAAATGAATCTGTTGTATTATCACCAGCAAGAATAGTTTAGCTTCGATGATTTTAAAAGCCTAATCTGAAGTGATGGATATTCACCCACTTTCCCGTGCCTCCCAACACTGAGGATTTCCTGCTGACCCCTCTGGATCATTCCTCACCCTGTCCTGGGCCCCAGGAGGCTGGGCCATGAGTAGGCCTCCATCAATGGGCTTCCTTCTGCATTGTCTTCTTTTCTGTGGTTTCTGGATGCTGTGCCCACACATTGGTAATTCATTCATTTATTACACTCTCTCCAAGTCCAGTGTGCTTTTTTTAAACTCATCTCACATGATTATTTCATACAATTTCTTGAAGCTATGTCTTGAAGCAAAGCTACTCCACCAGAATCTAATCTATTCTAAATCAATTGTTCTGTGGGGTCTAGACTAAAGTTATCTTACTACTAATTTGGCTACATCTGTCCTTGACATATTTCAATAAATAAGTAATCTCTCTCAGCTTTATGTTACAGAGCTCTAGGGTCTCAGCTGAGAAGTTATTTAAATGTTTTCACAGATGGAAAGCTCTTTTTCAGGAGAAATATAACCTATAGGGAAGAGAAATAACTCTTCATCTGGGTAGAAATAAGAAAGAGAACTCTGTAGTTTTGCAACAGAATATCAGTAGTCTTGACTATAAAGTACCGCAGAAAAAGCTTTTCGATATCTTTTATTAGCATGTTCTTCAGTTACCCCCTAAAGAATTTATCCATGAAATGATTTGATCAAGCAAAATCTTGCCAACAGTTTGTTCAACCTTGTTGAGATGCATCTACTTCATAGAACTCCTGTGTTTCACTCCATTTTATGAATATAAAAAGGTGTCTGTACATTTCTGTACCGAAGGCATTTCATGTCACTGTTTCATGCTGACACTGAACATCTTTACACACATGTCCTTGTGCACATGGGCCCGAGGCAAGGACTAAGGCAAACACTAAAGGTGGCACGCTTCTCATTTCTCTCTTCCCAGCTGCACGTCTGGAGCTGCTTATCAAGTGTGAAATCACCTTCATTTGTCTTCACCAGTATTATTTCCATTTTTAAGTGAAAATCGAAAATACAATGCAATGAAGACAGTTAGGCTAAGTAGTATTGGACAAAACTGCTTTGGTTGTATATGAAATACAATCCACATCTATGGCTACGCACCGTCTGTGTGTGGCATTGTTCGTACAGATAATGGGTTGTGGTAAAAACACCTGAAAATCATTCCATCCCATATACAGAGAAGCAGCTTTGTGTCACAAAACTTTCAAGCTGACTTGCGATGGACACTGTAGTCGATGAATAAGTGTATGCATCTATCAGGATGTAAGGAAATTCCTTTTTCTCCCTATCTTCAACATTTAATATTATGACACTGGAATCCCCCTAATGGATTTTAAATGGCCTAGAAATGAAAAGTCAAATACATAATCAAGGACATGAAAATACTTTAATACCCATAAAGGTTCAGATGGATACGGCGTAACTGAGAGGTCAGCATGGAGGGAGACAGGAGAGTACCCAGCCCACCAGTGACGCCTCCCCGGGTTCCAGAAGCAATCATTAGCATTCACGACACTTTTCCTCTTTCCCTCTAAAGCAGTTTTTGTTTCTCCGAGAAATTAGTAGAAATGGAAATCCTGAAAATACAAATATTTTCCTAATTGGGCAGGTAACCTAAAACAATGCTTCCCAAGCTTGTTGACCCTATGATACAACTCCTATTTGAGGGAACATTCCAATTTTACAGAGAAACGTATTTTCAGCACATGATTTTAGGAAACGAAATCTGATTTTGACTTATGTGCAAGCTGCTAGTAAGGAATGAAAAACCAACATTTGCTATGAAATCTCTGAGCCTTCCATTCTGACTCAACAGGCAGGGGCTGATCTAGGATAAGGAGGATTCAAGTCTGAACGTTGCCCAAGTCTCCTGGCCCAACACTGAAAACAAGACAAATACATTGTGACAGATAACTTGTTTTTCTTCATCATTAAAATAGCACCTTTGTGGGCTTCCCTGGTGGCCCAGGGGTTAAAGACAGCATTATCAAGCTACTGCCAGCCACTGCAGCACAAGTTTGATCCCATCCCACCAGGGAGCAACCCACATGGCGCAGCAGACCTCTCCTGACTCACCCACTGCTCCCCTCAGCAGTGTATTTCTCTAGATCTGCCTGTTCTGCTCCCCACTCGGTCTCTGTTAAATCCTCTCACCTCCCACACCTCTGGCTTACACCCCAGTTCTTGTATGCATAAATAAATAAATCTTTAAAAAAAAAAAACAGCACCTTTGATTTTGCTTTTCAGCATTCAGGAGCCCCTCATGTCACTTTTTAACTGCCCTCTGCTTTATAAAACTAGCTCATTTTATTATTCTTTTTAAATTTTTTTTTTAAACTTGCTCATTTTCTGTGCATGATTCTGAGATTATTGCTGCCACAGCAACCTGAGATGGAAAGCTTTCTGGGGGGGATGCATAAGTGGAAAGTGAAGAAAGGTGGAGCCACGGCTCCACCTCTGGGGCTGAGAAACTGCGTCAGTACAGTCAGCTTTTCCTAGTGCATCATCTGAGGAATCCAAGGCACCAGCTCTCATTAGGCTGGGAACCGGGCTGAGGACCCCGATTTCATCTGTACTGGAAAAGCGGAGTCTGTGGGTCATGCAAATAACCTCTCAGTGCTTTTCCTCTGGAACAAACCTGAAATGCCAACACCACCAGCCCCAACACTCCTGGGGAGGAGCAGCGGATGGAGTAAATGCCAAATATGGTATAAAAAGCAAATGTGGCCAGACCTAAAGATTAAATCTTATCCCACTTAAATGGTGAGAACTTTTACATATTTGCCCTTAGGACACGAAGGAAAAGCAACAGAATCAAATTTCTAGATAGCAATCAGTTTGCCACTTAGGCCTCTAAGCTAGAGCTCTGGGCCAGAGGCCATGATTCTGAGATAACCCCGAATTTTGGACAAATTAACAACTGTTCCTTTAATGCGGTGGCATCCTCTGTCATGAAATCTCTTTTCCAACTTTCTTTGCACCTGAAAAAATCAGTTCACACCAAGTTCTGTTATGTCCAAGCCCATCGTCCTAAAACCAGGTTTCCTGGGAGAACCTGCCTTAGTCGGAGGCACAGAGCGGGTCCTCACTCCTGGGGAGGGTCTGGTTCCTCACTTGATCATCTGGGTCTCCTCATCCGCGTCATAGAATTCCTCTTCCTCCTCGCTCTCGCTCCCCAAAGCACTTTCTTTCTCTGTGGACTGAAACAGGAAAGGAGAAAGAGGCGGTGGACTGATGTCTTTCTGCAGTGAAAGTGACTATCTAGCCATTCAACGGACAAAGTGTTTTTATGACATCTATTCCCCGAAGAATTAGGCCCTTAAAGTGTCTAAGAAAGCTAGTGAGGGCCTCCCTGGTGGCGCAAGGAGTTAAGGCGCAGCACTATGAAGTATCCGCAGCCTCTGCAGCATGAGTTCGAACCCCCGGCCAAGGAGCTACCCACATGGCGCAGCAGACCTCTCCTGTTTCGCCCGCTGCTCCCCTCAGCAGTGTATTTCAGTAGATCTGCCTGTTCTGCACCCCGCTCTGTTTCTGATGAATCCTCTCACCCCCTCCCTTCCCACCCCCATACCCCGCATCTTGGGCCTGCACCTCAGCTCTTGTATGCATAAATAAATAAATCTTAAAAAAAAAAAAGCTAACGAAATCCTTGATTATCTCTATTTCTCTGGAAAGCAGCCACTGTTAGATTCCACCTTTGCTTCCTAGCAATTTTCACTCGGTTCTGCTGCATCTCAACAGAACGTTCCTTTTCTCCCAAAACCAGGCTCATCGGTAGGTGGGAGTGATTAAGAAAAACACTGTCGTACCTGAGGGGGCTCCAGGGTCTGCAGAGATAAGGCTTCCTCCCCCAGTCTCCGATACGAACACACCTGAAGGTCAGAGAACGTCTCGAGCAATGGACTATTCAGGGTTTCTGGCAACAACAAACTCAGGAGGCCGGAGGTCAGGCCTGTGGCTCCAAATACAATGAAGGGCAGAGACCACTGTACATATCTCTGTGGGGGCAGTGGCGGGAGGAAAACAAGGCAAATCAGGGTTAGTCTCCTGGCAGATGGCGTCAGTGCTGAGGGTGAAGGGCCGAGTTTACTTATCAGGCTCCTGCCTTCTGGCCAGCTACGCTACAGATGCTTTGCCCCATAGAGAGTCCCCGGAGAAATCATGGTGGTTCCTGGGAATCTGTTTCATGCATGGTGGATGCTGTGGACTTGTTGGCACCTGAGCAGGTCAGAGTTCGGGGTCAGGGGAGAGGGAAGCCAGCGCTCAGCCTCAGGGAGTAGCTAAGAACACAGAGATCTCCAAGTCTCTGCACACAGGAGATGCCCCAAAATAATCGCTAATGATAAACTTCGAAGTTTATCGTTCTCAACCTGGAATGGACCAAACAATCCCACACATGCCTGCCAATTCACTTGGCTCCCTAACTGAGAGGCACAGGGGTTAAAAGTAGAAATATCCTCTCTCTCCGTTCCATCCATGTTGCCTCAAATGGCGTGAGTTTATCTTTTAGATTGCTGAGTAGAATTCCACTGTGTACCTAGGCCGCACCTTCTCGATCCAGTCATCTGTTCTGGGGCATTTAGGTTGTTTTCGTATCTTAGCTATTATAAATAGCGCAGCAATAAACAGAGGAGTGTTTTTGTGTCCTCTGGGTAGATTCCAAAAATTAACAAACATGTAAGAAAATAAATAAACAAATAATGTTGTGTTTTTTAAAAAATATAGAAATACCCTGAAAATGACAAGAAAAGCCCAGAATCCTGGTATACACACATGGCTTTGAACTACCCAAACTGAAAACAGCAGCAGGCAGTGATACAAACACTTGCTTTAGAGATTCTAAATTTAAACAGATTCTTTAAATACAAACAGGTTCAGAGATTGTGTTGCTTGTGGACTTTGCTCTGGGGCTTTTCCCAGCTGATTAACATTCCTGAATTCCTGCACAGGAGTCACTTGCCTTTATCATCTACTGGTTTGGGTTTCCAAATTCCGTGGGTAGGACCACTCACTACGAGTGAGGATGGCCCTTCAGATAATATTTTCCTGATTTTTCATAAGTGATGAGAGATGGAAAAAGAGGGAGAGGAAGGGACACGGAGGTGGGGAGAGGGAAGACAGGGGGCTGGCGAGGAGAAACTCTACCCTCTGGCCACGTCCAGGCAGACGTGTCTTCATTGTGGGTGTGTTGCTGAATCAAGGGGAGCCGCTCACCTCTTCCCAACTGAGCAGGACTCAACAGAAACCCGGTGCTGGGTATTATGATGCTTTAGGAGAGCCACGTTGGAGATCTTTAGCGATACACACTGAACGTCGGACACATTTTGCAGAATGGAATTAATGACTGCTCCATAAGGAGGGTGTTGGGGTCTAATAGCAAGCATGAAACATGGAGAGAGATGCTCAGAGGAAGGAAATGCATTGCAACTTCGAAAAAGAGGCTGCAATGGCATTTCAGAAACGTCTGTCCTAGGAAGCAGTTGGTACAGCTGCCTGCACTGTCATCTGCTGTGAACAGAGCAGGCTCTTAGCCCACACCAAATCCAGTCGCCTTCTGTGAGTGGGGGCTGGAAGCTCCTAGATCAGACAGTGCAGGGAGGCGCAGGACCCCACAGGCTCTTTCCCAGGGCCCTACATTTCAGAAACAGAGGGACGTCAGAGCTGTCATTTAGCCCATCCCCTTTCATGTGACTCTGAAATTTACAAAATGACAGCAACTATTAACAGGCACACAACTAGTTGTATTTCTCTTCTAATTTTCTTCCCATGTGGTGTGCCTTGTAGAGGGTCTTTCTGCTGCCTGTTCAACTTGAACCCAGGTAACAACAAGCCTCCCTCATATGGTTATGCAGTGTGCGTGTGCTACATGACATGTTTCTCCCAGAGCCCAGCACACAGAGAAGCTTATTAAAAATTCACTAACTGACTAGCTTATGAAAGAGGACAGGGAGGGGCCAGCTGGCATTAGCTAACAGCCCAATGAAGACACTGAAGTGAAAATTCAGAGTTGGAGGTAAAAGCATCCTTGGGAAGAATCTCTCCATCCCGATGGAGCCTTAATGTCAAAGGCACAGTCTCACATTTGTGTCAGGCTGAACTTGCATGGCACCTGCCCATTACCCCCCTTCTATTCAAAAGTGCAAGCATTGCCAAAGCAGAGCACCAAGAAAAACAGAACTAGGGGTTACAAACCAACCAGTGAGGGGATGAAGGGAGCAATAATGCCACCAATTCGAGAGAACATGGAACACGCTCCGAGGCCAACGTTCCTGAAAGGCATAAGAAAAGGTTTTTTAAAACCAGTAAGTTCTAGGAGGACAATTCAAAGACCCTGTGGGACAGAGGGCTCAGGACACAAGATCCCAAAGGGGAAACTCAGGATCCAGAGAGCACTGCCTACCAGAATATTCTGTGGTGCTGGGAATGTTCTAGAATTGCACTGTCTACTACACAAGCCACTGGACACAAGCAGCTACTGCGAGTGGTTGCAATGTGACTACCAAGCATGAGGACCTCAACTTTTTTTTTAAATATTTGTTTTTATTTATGCATACAAGAACTGGGGTACAGGCCAGAGGTGTGAGAGGATTCATCAGAAACAGAGTGGGGAACAGAACAGGCAGACTGACTGAAATACACTGCTGAGGGGAGCAGCGGGCGAGACAGGAGAGGTCTGCTGTGCCATGTGGGCAGCTCCCTGGCCAGCTGGGGATCAAGCTTGTGCTACAGAGGCTACTGACAGCTTCATAGGTTGCGTCTTAACCCCTTGCGCCACCAGGGAGGCCCAGAGGACCTCAACTCTTTATTTATTCTTACTGAATTTAAATTTAAAGAGTCACACAAGGCTAGTAACTACCTCATTGGTCAGTTATAGAGTTTGGTGCAGAAATGAGCAAGTGACTATCTCTTGTCAAGTGTTCTCTTGTTCTTATAATTTTTCCTATAAGGCTGTTATCATCAGTTTGTGTCTTAGGTCCCCTATGTATTAATGTGGTCATGGAGAGCCAGGACTTTTCAGTGATGTGGAAAATCAACCCATTTATTTCAACTCAACTAATTAACTCTTACAGGGTATAAAAAAAGATAACTCTTAAAGCATATAAATAGGAATGGACTGAACATATGTGTTCAGAGAACCAAGAACACTGCTTTCTTGGGGAGCATGTCTATAAAAGGGGGGAGTGCACATGACAATGTTTGTTATCACCCTGTTATCCCAGACTAACTGTTAATAACACCCACATTCCAAAGTGTCCAGTCTGACAAAATGGTTATAGCCAGTGGCTGGGAAAGTGAGTTATAGGGACAATAAGGAAATAACTAATCATCACAGACACTTTGCAAAAATTTGAGCAAAGGAGACGGTAAACCAACAGGCAGAAAGAATCATGAGGTTGCCTGGATCAGGGAAGCAGATGGGCCCATTGGAGCAGCACTAACTGAGGGGTACAGCCAACCTGCAGAGGCAGAACCAGGGGCCCTGGCGGCACTGCTACCCTTCACATCCGGGTTTGTTTTCTGTGTCCTGAGGGTAACTCAGCACAGAATATGTTCTTTTCAACTAAGTATGTCCTATTCCTCAAAAACACCCTAACAAGGTGGTCAGGAATCGTTCTCGTGAAGCTCGGAAGGATAGAACACCCCACCCCGATTTAGACCTGCGGGTGCTGCCCCACGACCTCCTCCAAAGCCCATGTAAAGAAGCTAGAGTAAAGCCATGTAACGACTGAAGAACAACTCTGTGGAGAAATAAAATGGAAATTGTACTTTAAAAAAATATGTAAATCTAACATTCAGTTATTGCTACGTGGATTATCTTTTTTTTTTAAAAAGATTTATTTATTTTTATATAAGAGCTAGGGTACAGGCCAGATGCACGGGAGGGTGAGATAATTCACCAGAAACAGAGTGGGGAAGAGAACACACAGACTGATGAAATACACTGCTGGGTGTGACAGGAGAGGTCTGCTGCGCCACGTGGGATTCTCACCAGCGGCGGGGATCGAACCCACGCTGCAGAGGCCCACAGCACAGCGCTCAACCCCTTCGCCACCGGGGAGGCCCTACACGGATTATCTTTTTAAAATGTGTATATTTTATGCTAAATGTAGGTTCTGGGACAAGAAGGACCCTGTCCCATGTCTGTCTTGCACCTGACACAGGATGGGTGAATAAATGAAGCCCATGGATGTCCAAAAAGACATCCAAGCACTAGGTTGGTGGGGGCTGTTCAGTGCAGAGCATCTCCCACAACTTACATGAGGGAATTCAGTTTAAGAGAAAACTTTGTTCTCCTCAACCAAGCAGTCCACACAGTTTCACAGCTCACAACTGCCTGCTGAATTGTGGCTGCACCTTCTAACTCTGGTCCAGGTGACGTGAAAACCATACCTGTGCAGGCGCAGGTGTGGGAGAAAGAGGGCAGCTGTGCGAGGCTTACCTGATGACGGTGGGGTAGAGCTCAGATGTGTAGATATACACCACGTTGAAGGCGGCACTGATGGTCAGCTTCCCCAGCAGAGACAGGGAGTGGCTATTCACCACCGCAAACACACCTGTGTCTGAGGAGAACAAGAGTGACACCTGTCAGACCCTTTGTGGGGAAAAAAATCCTTGAAAGGACACATTCCATTTGGAAGGATCCCGAACAGCAAAGAGGTGGTATAACTGAGAACACACTCAAGAGAGTTAGATGTGCCCCAACACACAGGCATGGTTCTCCCCAGAACTCTGACTTAGTATTTGTTAATACGTGTGGCTGAACTTGCACTTGCTCCTGAGCGACCAAGGCCCCTGAGGACATCTGCTGTGGTGAGCATCAGCTGTCATCAGGGGAGCGTCATGGAAACCTTTCGGTGTCACCTGCCTCTCCCTTTTCCCCAACCAGTTTGACAAAATGGTTATAGCCAGTAGCTGGGAAAGTGAGTTATAGGGGCAATAAGGAAATAACTAACCATCACAGACAATTTGCAAAAATTTGAGCAAAGGAGACATTAAACCAACAGGAGGAAAGAATCACAAGGAAAGAATACACCATTAATGGTGCATCTAACATGGCGGCCAGATAAGCCCCCAGCACGTGAGGGGGGTGAGTCTTCCAGACACAGAGGCAGAGAAACATCCATCTTCTAGAAAAACATCCCTCTTCAGTCTACACTCCTTGCTGTTTTTTCACTGAGAAGACGGAATAATCCCATTCAGTTACTACAATCACTGTATTCATATTCTTTAAAGAACAGAACTGTCAAAAATGGGACTACTTTTAATCTCCCCTCCTCCCTCACCTCTTACTAGAAATACTAATCACTAACGATAACTGAGTTTCTTCATGTCACAATTTTACATAAAATGCAAAAGTAGATTTTATGCCAGTTCATTTTCCTATAAAAAATACTATCAATTATCCTGTTTCTCTCCTTTGTTAACATTATTCTCTCAGGGACCTTACGATTTTTTCCTTTCAGACATATTGAACCTAAACCCTTCAATAACCCACTAGCCTCTACCTTCAAAATAGCAATTTGCCCTGTCTGAGGGAAAACAATTCTCATGGACTCTGTTATACTCCCCTCTTCACTATCAAACATCTCCAATCAGCAACTAGTTCTCCATTTCTTCAGATACATCTGCTCTGTAATGCACTGCTGTCTGGCTCTCAGCATCCTGTCCTGAAACTCCCACTCTTGAAGGTCAACAGCAATGTCCTAATCACCAAAGTAATTGCCTTTCAGTCTCCTTGACATTTCTGCCAAAGAGAACACGCTTGTCCCTTCCCCGGACCGCATGCCTGGCTCACACAAACCACTCTTCCTTTAAATAACTCAAATGCAATATCCTGCCCTTCCTCTGACCTCTGCTGCTCCCATTTCTTGATCCATCCAGCTGATGTGCTGCTGACACTCTTAGTTGCTTACATTTCCATCTTGTCTGTCCCAAGAATATTTCACGTTATCTCAGGTGAAGGCTAGTGTCTTTCTTGTGCGTGTGTCTCAGAGCAACTCGTAGCATGAAGCACAGTGATGCTCATCAGGTATTTGTTGAGCAACTTAAGTGGAAGAACTATGAGAGGGATTAATTTCAGTGAGAAGAATCTGTTTATTTTCCCTCAACTTGTAAGGAGGGAGGCATACAACACACTCTGTTCCAAAACATAAGTTTTGCTTTCCCAGTTTCACTAGAAAATAAATCTTCATCTACTTTAAAGATGGTGTCCTGAGCACAGCGGTCCAGGGACTGCCAAACTCCACCATCTGGGGCTTTCTGTTTCTGCCAGGCTATTTGGAAAAGGATTTTGTAAGTTCTAAATATGTTCTTTTAAGCTCTAAGGTGATTCTGGGAAAAAACAATCAGGCCATTCAGCATTTACCCCAAGGTATGTGCCGGACTTTCAAGATCTAACAACTTCAATTAAATCAAGAATGAGGGGGAATGAAACTCATCAATTGTTTTTCAGAAAATTGAGTGAATCAGGCAAAGGTCGTAGGTAGCATTGAGCAAACAGAAATGTACACATTTGCTTAACTGCCAGTGAGCTCTGCGCAGTTTTCCACCCAAACAGGATGACCCCCAGCCTGCGTGCAGACAATGTGACAAGTTAAGGGGCTGCCATCCTCGAGACTGGACTCAAATGGCAAGTCATAGCAGCTGTATCATCTAACACAAGCTCCAAGGCATGGCAGAGAGAATCTCCCAGTGCCAGCCGAGGTCCATATAGGGGGTCTGGCTCCAGACACATGTCACCTAGCACCTCATTAAATGCTCCACGTTTCCCTCCTATGTTCCTGCCAATGAAGGCTGCAGTTGCCAGCCAGAACCTGGGAGAATTCACTGGTTTCTAAGATGGCCCATGTCAATTACAGACAGCCCTGCTTATTGGAAAATACTTTCTTATTTTCTTTGGGACTCTGGCTTGTGGAGCTGCTGGCCATGTAGAGTTCATATTTAGGGGGGCTTTGCAGCTACAAGGCTGGTTCCCTGGATTACTGACCTTGGTTCTTTTTCTGAAAACTAAATCAGGCATTATTGGCTGTTACCAAGAGTGTTCAAAATGACCATTTAGAAAAACAGTGATTGTTGAAAAGGGAAAATTTAAATTGAATTTTTTTCTTAAAAAAAAAAAAGCAACCCTTAAAACACTTGTATCCTTCAATGTACTAAACTCAGGAGATTATGTTTATTCCAATGATGCAGCTACTAAGGACATCATCTTTGGAAACAGTCACGTGGATGTCTGCTCAGAGGCCATTTGGGGCCACCCAAGCAAAATGTCTCAGTATGTTCCAATCACATTTTTCTGGCCCCCAAATATAAAAATTCAACTTAATCACCCACGTCATTCTCTGGATGATTATAGCAGATTCTTATTGTTCACGCATGTGCTAAACATCTTTCGGATAGTTCCAGGCCTTTTGCTATGAAACAAAGGACAAAGAAGTGTGATTACTTGTGCTTTCTCTTTTTAAAGAAAAATACCATACTTACACATAGTTCTGTCACTATAGATTCACTACTTCTAGAATTTCACACAAATAAAATAATCGGGTCTAGACATTGTGTCTGGTTCCTTTAAGTTAGCATAAAGCTTTTGAAATTCATCTGTGTTGCTATATCAGCAGGTCACAGCTTAAGCCTGACCAGCGTGTCAGTACATACTGGGCAGGGCACTTGGGTCTAATAATTATAAGCCCCAGGCTGAGGATATCAAGAAACCTATTTTCTAGATTCCTGGCTCTCCTTTCTAGAGATAAACTTTAAGCCTGTGCCTCAGACACACAGAACCACAATCATATGTCTAGATGCCAACCAGAGAGGGGCACCTGAGTGGACAGAAAGGAGAAAGCAGATGAATATTTGGTGGGAAAATCTGAGAGAAAATGAGCATAAAAAGCAGTGAGATGGGCCTCCCCTGGTGGTGCAGCCGTTGAGCGCCTGGCTGCCAGGCTGCCTGCAGTCTCTGCAGCGCTGGTTTGTTCCCCCCCGCGAGGGTCCCACAAAAAAAAAAAAAAAAAAAAAAAAAAAAAAGTGAGACAATAAGTAATCTCCAAGCTTAGAAGAGACGCTAAAAAATTTTCTAAGTACTAGGTCTCCTTTCTAATATGTACCTCTCAGAACTTTCCTAATATACAGCTTTATGCTCAAAACTTTGGGGAAAAAAAAAAAAAAACAGAGAAAGTCATAAAAATATTTTTAACATTTAAATAGGAAAGATTCAGGGAAAGTTTAAAAAACTTAAAAAACAAGTTTTTAGCTCCAAGAAGAGGAGAGCCAAGAATAGCTACTTGACTTTGCAAGTACAGAAAGGATTATGCAAAAGACAAACAAACAAAAAAAAGGTGCCTCTGTTTATAGCAGCACTATTTACAATAGCTAAGCTATGGAAACACCCAAATGCCCAAAAATAGATGACTGGATCAAGAAGATGTGGTACATATACACCATGGAATATTACTCAGCAATCAAAAAAGATAAACACATGCAATTTGCAGCAACATGGATGGCGCTGGAAGGGATCATGCTCAGCAAAATAAGCCAGAAAGAAAAAGAAAAATACCAGATGGTCTCACTCATAGCAGGAATTTAGAAAACTTAAATAAGGGACCAGGAAAAAGACTAATGATAATAAAATAAAAATAAAAATCAACAGGGAACTAGAAACTAGAAACACTATGGGGGGAGGATTAGAGTCAAAATAAGGGGGGTGGGAATTGTATGGGGAATATAACCAAGATGAAAATGCATACACTGTACAAAAATGAAAAATGATGTAAAAAATATATAAAATAAAAAAAAGTGACACTCACCAAAAAAAAAAAAAAAAAATAGTGACCATCTGTTTTCCATCTCCAGCAATGAATAAAATGAATGGATATGGGCTCAGATGTCATGCAAGAGGATCGTTCTAATATCCTAATGGATATTAAAATTAGAAACCATTTGCTAAAGGACATTGTGGAATTTTTGTCTGGAAATCTTCAAAAACAGACAAGACATTCACTTTTCTAAGTGTCATCGTGGAATCATGTTCCTGAGAGTGTGAAAACACTCCCTGCACCATGTCCCTTACTTCGCATCTGCCAAGGGGAACAGCGGACGAAGGGATCCAGCTGCTCTATTACAACAGGCTGGACATGAGCAGAGAGTGATGGCTGGTTGGACGGGAGCACAAAACTCTGCAGAGACTAAGGGGTGGGTGACTGTACAGAGCAGGAGGGAGAAACGACGTAACTTAGCCTGGCCCGCAAAGGTATGCTAGGTTACCCGTATGTTTATAGTAACAGTGAGAAGTTTGTGGGGCCTCCCTGGTGGTGCAAGAGGTTAATATGCCACACTATGAAGCTATCTGCAGCTGCTGCAGTACGAGTTCAACCCCTGGCCAGGGAGGTGACCCATATGGCACAGGAGACCTCTCCTGACTTGCCAGCTGCTCCCCTCAGCAGTGGATTTCAGTCGATCCGCCTGTTTTGCTCCCCACTCTGTCTCTAGTAAATCCTCTCACCGCCCCCTCTCCCCGCCCATCTCTGGCCTATACCCCACCTCTTGTATGCATAAATAAATAAATCTTTTAAGGAAAAAAAAAAAAAAAAAAAACAGTGAGAAGTTTCCAAGCATGTTCTATTGTGGGCAGAAAACTCGAAATCCCATGTTGTCCATGACAAACACAATCTGCTGAACCGAGAGCTACAATGATGAAGCCCATTAATTCTGTCTGAGACAAACAGAGCTGGACACTTAGTACTACAAGCCCAAGGCAACAGCTGAGAAGTTTCTCCTGCTCCTAGCACAGTTTGCTTGCAGAGTAAGAACTGCTTACAGAGTAAGAAATAGGTAGATTAGTAAGTTCTCCATGATTCCATGAAAATAAGTCAAAGACTATTCTAAATCCTAGGTAAAATTCTATCTAGAGAACAAACTCATCCTGAATTCAAGGCAGAGAAGGTCACACAGCAACCCACAGGACAGCAGGCCCATTGCGGGTGCAGGTCACAGACCTATAACGTGGCCCAGGGCTCTTCCTGAGATACTGGTACAGCCAAATGCCAAAGGGGCGTTCAGTAGGAGAAGCTGGTGGGAAATAAAATTCTTCAGCTGTGTTTCTTGCAGTTATGTCAAACCATCTCACAGTGATGCCCACTTGAAGAATGAGCGCCACAGTGGAACAACATCGGAGGCCCCAGGGCCCCCACAGGGCTTCTGCCGTAGGCCCCGGCAGTGGAGTTAACCCACCGGAAACACAGCTCTCGAAGTGGCAGTGCAAAATTAAAAAAGGCTGAGAACCAGAATTTTAATTTTTTATGAGAAGAAGTGATATTACACAAGGGTGCTCAGGGAACCTTCTTTGAAGCTGTGTTTGCACAGCAAAGCTACAAATATATAAACACCCCGACTTTCCTAATGACGTTTTATCCATACTTTTCATGAGACTGAGAAGATGTCACTTGTCACCATCAGCGACTCCTCTCACTGCTGCTGTCATTCCTGGGGCTCCGAGGTACAGGGTGCAAAGGCAGATCTGAGAACCACTGATGCTGCTCCCCCATTTTGGGATCGGCTGGACAAGTGGTGTGATCAGAAGCCTTGGACAGAGTTTCTTTCTGAGCAGAACTAAAGGGTCCTCTTCCTCATCAAATAAACAACTCTAACATCACCAGTGCTACAGCCCAGCCGCCCCAGATGGTAGCTTAATCGCCTGAAAGAATTAATAGTGCACCTCTAAGCCCATTATTCACCCAGAGAATAGTTCAGGCAATGGAAAGAATCTGGCCCATTATACCCCACACAATTGCAAAATAATATGCAATCATAGACATGAAGCCTGGCATATGGTAATCTCTCTACTATATTGAGATTCATTGTAATAAAAGTGCTGTTCAAACCCTTATGTAGAAATCCAAAAGGCATACCTTTCTTCTCTGGAAGAAACATCACAATAAGACAAGCCAGTCCTCCCAAGCACAGAAATGTTGCTAATGTTCGCTTTCGGCCAAACCTAAATAATAGAAAGAAATGACACATTTCTCTTGAGGATCTCACCAATTCACCGCTTCTTCTCCCAACCTTCCTTTTACAACGTCCTCAGTTTCATTACATATGTTCATCTTTTCTTAAGGAGCGAGGGGTGGTTCTGACAGGCCAGGACATTCAATGAATAATTATCATAAAACAAAAGAAAACTTACTGGATGGCAAGATTAGATAGTGGCAGGAAAAGAACTTAGAACAGTGTTAACTGTTCCAGGCATGTGTTACATGCTTCCTGCTTATTCTTACTTTGTCATAGCAACAGTCCAAATGGCACATACCCCCATCTTCTAGAGAATAAAGAATCACGGACAATGGACTCTTCCAGATCATTTCATTTTCTGGTTACAAAAATCTAAGCATTTAGGGCCTCCCCTGGTGGCGCAGGCAGTTGAGCGCCGCGCTGTGAAGCTGTCCGCAGCCTCTGCAGCGGCGGTTCGATCCCAGCCAGCCAGCAAGGGTCCCACATGGCACTGCAGACCTCTCCTATTGCGCCCGCTGCTCTCCTCAGCAGTGTATCTCGTCCGTCTGCCTGTTCTGTTCCCCGCTCTGGCTCTGGTGAATCCTCTCACCCTCCCGCACCTCTGGCCTGTACCCCGGTTCTTATATAAATAAATAAATAAATAAATCTTTAAAAAAAAAATCTAAGCATTTAAATTTTTAAACATTGTAAACAAACCTCTCTCTTAAAAAGACAAATAAAAATATGTCTTGTTAGAATGTCAGAATTAAGTATTGCACACTTTATTGGGAGAAATTATTTTCAAATAAAATCTCTAGCCTTGGAAGAAAAGATATTGGTATTAATAAGCCTACTGCCATTGGCCAGATCCTCTGTTAGGAGCTTCGATGCTACTTGTAATTTTTGTGACAGTTTCATCAGGGGAATTTATAACCCTGAGTTTAAAGACAGGCTCATGGAGGCTTCATGAGGTGACATGTCAAGGCCATAAAACTAACAGGTGGCTGAGACTGGACTCGGGTGACTGCTGGACCCCGAAGGCGGGGTTCCTCCATCTGCTCAGGTTGTAATCCTAACTCCAGTGGGCAGCAGCTGACAACAAGGAAAGACTTGCATCTCCAGGTCATTCTGCTGGTTTAATAGTCAGTATCCAAGGCTTTCAAGTGAGAAGCACCACGTTAGGCAGGTACCTGGGAGGGGGGGGGGATGCAATACTGTGGGGTGGCCCCAGGGGCAGCATCCTTGTTACACTTATGTGGGTGTCAGAGGGGTGCACCAGAAGCTATAACAGCACGAAGGAAGGGTGTTGGCATACTGGGGTGTAGGGACAGATTTCCGACCAGGATGAGAGGAAGCTCAGTCACTAAGGGGAGGTGCCATTGGAACACCCCCCAGAAAAAGCCTTCAACAGCACAGACCCAAAGCTGGCCTTCAATGTTCTAAGCTCAATATTCATGAAAATGGAGTCAAGCGCAATGCCAAAGGAATGTCACTTTTTGTTAAAATGATGATTTCTGGAGAATAAGAAATGTACCATCCAACTGATTCCCAGCTCACACAGATCAGAACTTTTAGCTGTCCTGATTAGGGACTAAGTTACAGATCTGGGGAAACTGAGGAAAGGGTAGTCTATAAAAGAACTTTTACAAAGCATTTCAAACCAGTGCCTCCTGACAGTGACTTTTAAGAAGGTCCCATGGGTCTTAAGAGGTAAGAACAGTCTCTCTAGAAGTGCTTTCAGTAAGAACAAAATGACAGTGATTAGGTGTTGGAGTTCTATCTACAGAGAGCCAATAAATAATCCCATCTGTTGAGTCAAGCAAGTTACATTACTCGAAAAACTTGGGTGGTTATACCTTTCAACGCTGGGTTAAAAACTGAAATCTTGTAAGCATGAAACCCAGGACGTACTGTACTAGAAGTGAATTCTGTTGTTTGGTTAGACTCGGAATTCTAATCACCATGGAGTAATTAATTAGCAGATACAGTGCACGGGCGAGAACAATGGTCCGTAGGTATTTATGGATAAGTGAGCCTGTGTATTCGATACAGTTCACTTCACTCCCAACTCTACTCACCATTTTTGGTTGATCAAGTAGATGCAGATAGGGTAAGATGGGATCTCTATGAGGCCAGACAGGGCCAGGTTGGCATAAATATTTCCACCTAGGTCACCTGCATTCAGAGTTAGGCCATAATAGACCAGGCTGCACACAAACCTGCAATTGAAGGTAAAAGACAAGAAGAAAAGACACATAAGAATTTTCCAGAGAGGATCCCATACAATGTGAGTTGTTGCAAACAGCAAGCCTGACCTCCCCACAAATCCTTCTCTCCTAATCTCAATCTCTGTACGAGGAACAAATGAAAGCTAAAAGGGCCTTGGACATGATCTGATCAGATGCTTCTAAGTGATGGGAAGCCCCCCCAAAAAAGAAAGGCATTGCCTGTGTTTTCATCAAGCGCTTCTGCATATTTACAGCAGACAGTGACCTTGCTCTTACTGGATTTACTTATTTATGCACACAAGAGCTGGGGTACAGGACAGAGATGCGGGGAGGGATGGATGATAGGACCCACCAAAGAAGAGGGGGGAGCAGAACAAGTAGATTGACTGAAATACACTGCTGAAGGGAGCAGCGGGCTAGACAGGAGAGGTCTGCTGTGCCATGTGGGTTGCTCCCTGGCTGGCCAGGGATCGAACTGGTGCTGCAGAGGCTGCGGATTGCTTCAGGGTGTGGTGCTTAACCCCTTGCACTACCAGGGAGGTCCCTAATTCAAGAATTTATGGAGAGCCTCCCTGGTGGTACAAGGGGTTAAGTCTCAGCACTATGAAGCTACTACAGCATGAGTTGGATCCCCGGCCAGGGAGCTACCCACACGGCGCAGCAGACCTCTCATGTCTCCCCGCTGCTCCCCTCAGCAGTGGATTTCAGTCAATCCACCTGTTCTGCTTCTCACTCTGCCTCTGGTGAATCCTCTCACACCCCACATCTCTGGCCTTCACCCCAGATCTTGTATGCATAAATAAATAAAATAAATCTTTCAAAAAAAAAAGAATTTATGGAACTCTTGTTTTAGGCAATTGTTTTTATATTATCTAATTGACGCTAGAAAAGAACTCCCATGGAGAAAGCCAACAGAGGATGGCACAGGCCAGGGACGGAGAAGGTTCTAATGGCGACGGCCCCCTGACACCAGCCCCAGCCTCCTGCAGGTGCCCACACTGTGGACACCAGTCTTGGGGGAAGGAAGACAAGGTCCGCGGCAGATTTAGGAGCCTCTTGGGTCAACTGGAAAAGAGCCCTCTGAAAAGCCATTAAGTTACTGACACATGTCGATGCTGGAACGCTCCCGGGTGGCAGGCTGGGTGCCAGGTACGAAGCCGGGAACTCAAGAGCCCAGACACCAAGCCTGCTTCCCGCACTTGGGAACCGGGCAGCTCAGTAGCCCAAGTGCCTCCCAGAGGTGGCAGTTGGGACTCCCCCAAGCAGAGCCAAGGGCGTAAAGAAGTTCCGTGTCTAGGAAACTGCATTATTAAAACCAACCCCAAACAGAACAGAGCAAACAAAAATTACCTCCCGAAGCTCAGTTTCAGTTATAGCCGAACACATTCTGTAAACCATACATTTCTAGACAAAGAGTAAAACACTTGGGTTTGGAAGTTTGCCCATTTTTCTGTTTCGTAATTCACTTTAACAACTATTTATTAAAAAGGGGAAGTTCCCATTTGCTTCCCTTCAGTTTTTGTGAAAAAAGTCCAATGAGCTATAGCTAAGATGACAATAAATGGAAGAAAAATCTTTATTTCCGCCTCTGCCGAAACAGCACCGTGGCCCAGACCCTGGGCTCCAACAACCAAGGAGAAGGGGGGGGTGAGGAAGACAGAGAGACCCTCAGAGCTGACTGCTCAGGGCTCATCCCTGTGGGGCCAGTGAGCCCAGCAGCAGCTCAGCACTTCCGGCAACGCTTACTGGCTGGAGCCGCTGGGCTGCAGCCAGGAGATCGTGTTCAGACGGAAGGTGACACCAAGCTCCCCCCGGGCCCGAGGCGCCTTGTCACAAGCAGCAGGCCAAATAAATCAGAAGCCAGGCAGTTCTCTAAAGCATTTTAGAAATCTTCCCTACCTGCAATAAAGGCCCTCCCCTAACGTCATGGCATTCTGCATGGGGTGTGAGTGCCAGTGTGTCAGGGTGTCAAGGTGTGAGCGTGTCAGTGTGTGAGTGTGTCAGCATGTGAGCATGTCAGTGTGTATCTACTCTGCACATAAATTATGTACAGAGCAATGACAGCGGTAAAAAACACACACACCTGCTTTAGCCAAGTTGTGCTGGTGTCAAGCCGGGCATGGATAAGCAAAGCCAGTCCTGGACACCGAGGCTTTAGTCACCAGTAGGTGGAGAAAGGGGAGCAGAGCTAGGGAACCCCAGCCCCAAGGTCGAGACCCGCTCGCAAGTTCCCGTGACGGCAGACCGGTCCTCGGGGTGTGCATAGACGCAGCTATTAAAATCATGGCAATCTTTTTATGGGTCCCAAAGAGAATTTAAAATGCATATTATTTATTTATTTTCTTTTATTATTATTATTTTTTTTAGAGATTTATTTATTTTTGTACACGAGCTAGGGTACAGGCCAGAGGGTGAGAGGATTCACCAGAGACAGAATGGGGAGCAGGACAGGCAGACTAACTGAAATACACTGCTGAGGGGAGCAGCGGGTGAGACAGGAAAGGTCTGCTGCGCCATGTGGGTTTCTCGCCAGCTGGCTGGGATCGAACCTGCATTGCAGAGGCTGAGGACAGCTTCACAGTGCTGCGCTCAATCCGCTGTGCCACCGGGGAGGCCCATTAAAATGCATGCTATTTAACAGTATATTTAGTGCAGCAAAGAACTATTTTAAAAGATACTGGTATGGGAAATAACCAAAGGAACAGCTGTTGAACACAGAGGTATAATTTGACTCCCCAGTTCAGGCTTTCTTCAATGACAGATCCACAGAAAATATTTTAAAATTTTATAGCATCTTCAAAAAGAACAGCAACATGTGGAATGACATTGAATCTATTACCATGTATTTTAACATTCTGCGCCTGGGGGAAGACGGTGATTTGAGCAGAGCTCCTCTGGCTGCATGAGGCATGAAATAATCAGGGACATTTTCTCTGGCTCTGTCTAGTTTGTTTGTTCATCTATTTTGTTTATCCCCGAAAGGCCAGAACCCAAAAGCAATATGCTTGGAAAAAATAAAAAACTTAAAAACAAGAAGTAAGTAACCCTAACAGGTCACACGCTCTCTTCAGGCAGAGGGTCTGACTGTCTACATAACATGCAAATACAGTCTTAGGGCGCCCTCAGGACCTGAACGTCCTTGGGAAGAATTTCCTTTAAAATAGGTAGAACCTCAAAATTGCTAGCTTTGGCTTATATGGTTCCCCTCACCTCCATGCCTCCAAGCCTGTCTGCCACTCAGCATCCCTCACGCACCTGTGATGCTGGCACCAGGGGGAGCTGCAGGTGGTGTGACCTGGCGCTGGCCACGCAGACAGCAGCCAGGGCTTGGTTGGGCAGGAACAGAAAATCGTGACATACAAAAAAGATCCTAGCAGATTTCCTCAATCTGCTGTTCTTTTTAGCTTTATTCACAAAATTGGTCTCCTTTATTCCCACAAGAAAATGTAGGTTTCCATGCAGGATTCATGGAAAATACACAACAACCACAGCACAGGAGTCCTTTAGGCCAGTAATTGTGATGTTTACATGCCAAACTGGATCCCGTATGTGTATGACCCTCCTGCAGAATGCACAGTATTAAAACACATGCACGCCACAAATTGCAGGTCCCACCTATCCCTTTCTCCCCTTTCCACAACCTCATTTTGTAAAGGACCATCCTGAGCTAATCAAGGTGCTGAGAGGGCTGTGAGTGGGGCTGGAGGAGCCAAGGTGGATAATGAGGCTCAGAGAGGGCTGGTCTGCACACGTGGCTCTGGTCCATCATGCCAAACTCCCAGACCCCATGTGTGCAGGGACTGGCCTGTGAGCATTTAGGCTACCCCAGGGGGTCCACAGAGGACACACACTGAGAATGTGCTATCCGAATGCTTGAGGCCTAAACCAAAGGTAGATACTTCCCTTTTATTTTTTGTCTATTAAATTTATTTATTTTCTTACATTGTTCATTTTTGCTCAGTATTTTAAAGTCCCTTTTAAAAACTCTTCTGTTTCTGGCACACTTGCTTGTTTTTGGAGGGGCGGCCATGGGACAAGCTTACATGTTTGCATTAATCACCTCCTGATCCTAATGTGTTTCTGATCCCTACTTATACCACTTCAGTCAACCTGCTGCCAGGCACATCCTTTCTTCCCTGAGAAGGAGTTTAGGGCAAAAGCAGAAGTGGGCACAGGCAGGCCCTGCTGGGGGGTAGCCTTATTTCTGTGAGACCAACCTTAGGCTAACAAAGAGCCAGTTTTCTGTGACCCTGGAGAAGGAGCAGGTCACCTAGGACTGGTGCAACCGGAGTGGGAGCTTAGCAGAACCGCCCCTGGATGTAATTACCAGATGAACATCAGGGTCAGCGTGTGCCCCAGCAGCACCCGGTGGCGGAACAGGTCCAGGATGCTGCCAGTCTCCTGGGCACCCCTGTGGGCCGGGTGTGTGAGTGTGAACGTAGACTTGAGCTTGCGGTTCCTCCTGGCAATGAGGTACAGAGCTTCTTCAGCCTCGCTCAGCCGACCCTGGGAGTATAACCAACGAGGTGATTCAGGAATGAATCTGAAAGAGATGTCATTAAAGGCTGTATTTCCATGTCGGTACATGTGCAGCGGAAGGAGACAACTCACTACACAGTATGTGGGCTCCATGCCAGCCTCCAAGCTTGAGCCTCCCAGAGGGGGCCACATCCACCAGGCTGGCCGTGTGAAGAGGTGGCCTATTTTTTGCAGGGAAACCAAAAACGTCCTTCCAAGTAGCAGTAAAAAAGGGAAACGTTATGCATTTGCTTTTAAGTACGCTGTAACATATGGAAGTTAAGCCAATAATACTGAATGATACAAATTCCTCTGTAAGCATGAGTTATAGATATGGTGCTAAATCACAGCCATGTGTTGTGAGAATAATGCTCTAGAAAAGGGCTTTTTCTGAAGTTTGGAGTTTGGAAAAAGTGTCATGAGAAGAAAAAAATTTTACGAAGTGTCTTTAATGTAGTGGTATGTTATTAAGAAGGTAGAGATTATTTTAAGGTTACATGAAAATGAAACAAGACTTGTCACATCTTAGGTACTCTTGAGGGTTTATTACTTCAAAATACTCCAACCAGGTCACACGCTCACTTTAATGTGTCCTGGGGATATTTCCTGGTGCCCCAAGATCTTAAAGAAGAAAAATTATCTGTGACTTTCAGTTAAAACACGACAGTTATTTTCCACATAACTACAAAGTACTGAAGATTCAAATTGCCACTGATACCGTCAACAAGTTTTACGACTTAGATGTTCTGTGTCACAGGTTTGCATGCACTTCCAGAGGACTTCCCAAAGACAAAACTGTGGCAAGAACATAGAAGCCTTATTTTACTAAACACAACAGAAAGTACCTTTTGATCTATTTTGATCTAATAAATTATTTGCCTAAATTGAAACACATAAGAATAATAGTGACTATTTCAGGTGCTTTTTGGAATATGCTATATCCTTTGGATAAGGAAAGTGAGTTGACAGCAAATGCCAGAGAATTTGGAACTTCATGGACAGTCGGTCAATAATCACTCATCAAGCACTTTCACTTTATACCAAGCAACATAAAAGGTGCTAAGAGAAAAAACAGAAAGGCAGAGATTTCCCCAGAAGTTCCACCACTGGGAAGAGAATATTTGTGCACATTTAATTGTCATCAAGACCTGAAACAAAGGTCTTCTGTAACAGTCTGAAAAATCCTTCCTCATTGCCAGGTGATCATTACTGCTGACACCAGGTAAATAACCAGTAAGATACTGTCCTGTTGGAAGGTAGGTCAGCTCGCCATCGACTGGATCAGCTGCTGCTATCTACAGGGCTGTATAGGAGGTACTGTGTAAACTAAGTCTATCCACAAAGAACATAAGAGAAGACCATATGGCTGAAGAAAGAATACTTGGGACAGAAAAATTATGAAAGTATATGGTAATATAAATTAAAACTCAGGTAAACTGGGAGGAGTGAGAAAGAACCAACAAAGAAATAGCTAAAACATTATCACTCATCATCCTTGGGTAACTTTAGTCATTCTTGCTTTCCATTAAAGTTCCTTGTGTTTCAGAACTGTTATTGCTTAATATAAATCACCTTTTAAAAAAAGATATATGTACTTCCAAAGTTATTGCAGCATTATTTATAAAAACTAAGATGTGACAACAATCTGTGTTCAGATTGTGAATGAATGAATGGATTGAATGAATGGATTGAATGAATGGATTTTAAAAGGTGGTAAATATACACACATACGAACAATGGAATACTACTCGGCGATAAAAAAAGGTGACATCTTGCCATTTGCAACAACATGGATGGATCTTAAGAATATGATACTAAGTGAAATAAATCACACATAGAAAGACTAATACTGCATAATTTCACTCATATGTACAAAGAAAGCAAGCAAGCAAATGAATAAGGGAAAATAAAAACAGATATAGAAAACTGATTGATGGTTACTGGGGGCAGAAGGGTGAAGGAGGAGGTGAAACAAGTCAAGGGGGTCAATTATATGGTGGTGGGTAGAAACTAGACTTTTGGTGGTGATTATGATGTAGTCCACATAGAGGTTGAACCCTAAAGTTGTATTTCAGAAACTGAAGTAATATTATAAATCAATGTTATCTAAAAAAATTATTTAAAAAAGGAGATGGGGAGAAGGCTTTGGAGGAGCAGCTACAGCACTGAGCAGGAGGCAGAAAAACAGGAGGTTTATACCAGAATTACAGGCATCTTTGTGTGCCTAGGACACAGGTTATGGGGAACTGGAAGGGAGAAAATTAAGAAAGATAAATTGGAAGCCAACTGTGGGACACCTTATTCCAGGCCTAAAAAAATAAATACATATTCCAATTTTCCATGTTCTCTTCTCTCTGTTTCCAATTTTTCATGACCTGAATTCATTTTCCAGTAAGTGGTTGTCCCCATCTGGCACTAAGCAATAACCAACTCAGACTACATATTCAGAAAAAGCAAAGCAGACTGGCTTGAATCATTCATTGAATTCATTCTACTATGAGAGCCAGATTAGATTGAGAAGTATGAAATTTATGAACTACTTTAAAAGAAAATTCATTTATCGACCAATATTTACATGAATTCAAGGAACTATATTAGACACCCACTTATTCCAAAAAATAGAGTTATTAAGATGTTAGTTTCCCTCTCTAATAAAATCATTTCACCCATATTCCCATTGTCAAATACACTCAGTAAATTTTGCCTTTTTAAATACAGATGAACTATTTTTGCTATCTTCTTTTTTACACTTAATGATTCTCTTCAGAGAGAGTATGAAAACAGATGTCAGTTCAATCCCCACCAAATCTTAATAAGCAGAGCCTGAAAACTAAATTAAGGCTATTTGAATGAAAATTCTACAAGTGTCCAGCACTTTATGGTATGTAGGAAAATCGGTGCCATTAGCTGAAAGTTTTATTTATCCCAAGGATTTCAATGGTTAAAATTAGAGGGCTGATATCTTAGGAAAAAAAAAAGCTTTCACAAGCACATTAAAAGTTGTCGTGAAATAAGCCTAAATGAGTGCCTCGCTTTACAAAATTTCGGGCACCTTTGAGCCTTTGCTGCACTGTGACTCACTGCTTTGAGCTCACACACTCCAAGGATTGCTCCCATATCTGAGAATCTTCCAGAGCCCTGAAATGATACTCATCCATGGGATAAACAGTTGTGGCTACATTTTTCATATGAATAGATTGTGTCCCAACACATTCCTGAGCCACACACACAGCACCTGATCTGCTCCAGCCTGAAGATCTTTATGCGTCAAGCTTTAGATTAAATGAGAAATGTCTATCCCGGGTCGATAGCTAAGGTTAAAATGCAGTCTATGGAGAGGTCACTTTAAATAAGGGATACCTGCATTCTGAATTAATTAAGCATCTCTCTTCCCAGGCTGCCAAGCATTGGAGCGCTTGTGGAATTTAGTTCTTCACCAAAGTCAGTGCAGGCAACCTCCTGAAAGGGAAGAACGCCGCTCATTGACCCTCATCCTCTTAAGTTGTTCCTTCTACTTAGTAAATTAAAACCCCAAGAGGAAAAACTACTTACAAAGATAAGAGAAAGACCACGGTTCCCTGCAGGTTAACCAGAACGGCGAGGGTCCTCCAGGAGCGGATGAAGTATCCCAGCAGGGCATACTGGGCGATGCCCACTGCGAAAAAGAGGCCACCGATCGATCCTAATTCAGAGACAAGAGCCCAATTACTGGAGAAAGCACCATCTGCACCATGGTTTCCAACCCAGATCCCAGAGCCAGTTCCTTCCATGCGAGATGTCAGCAGAAAAGAAAAACCTGCACAAGTACCAAGTGTCAGATGATAGAACTAGAAGAGGCCAGCAAGCTGGTGGGGAAGGAAGTACAGGTGAAAACAAACTACCTGCGGTCAGGGTGGATTTGAAGGGCCTGCCCAAATGCTCTCTGCCTTTACTGTTGGGCTGACATCCACCTGAGCCCACACTGAGGCTGGGAGACTTTTTTTTGCTACACGGCAACAAGGATTTCAGGGTGTGAGATTATTGCAATTCTGACTTCATCTTTATCACAGAGGCTGCCACTGAAATTCTCATCTTAAATCACAGCAATTCCCCTGTTGTCTTTCCCTACCTAATTTATTACCATGGGGTACATGACGTCTCATGTTTATCTGGGTTTTGTCGGTCTCTCCCATCTAGAATATAAGCTTCATGAGTCATGGATTTTTGTTAGCATACTGATAGGAAAAAAAGCAATCCCTGCAATCGTGCTGGGGCCTGCATTTCTGAAATAAACACTGAGATAGGTATTAAGATGGGCTATTATGTCCAGCATCCTTGTGGCTTCGGCACCTCTGACGCACTTTCTATAGCTGCTTCTTTCACTAGTTGTAGTGAAAATTGCTATTTCTTGAGCTTTAAGCCTTTATAGACATTGTCCCCACAGCAGGTGCCATTATTAGCACAAACTCAAGTTAGGAAATAGCTCAAAGAATTTGGGGGCAGTGGCGTGAGGACAGAGCTGGGGGGCAGGGACCAGGTCCCCTGCCTGGGATGGCAGCCTCCGCCCTGTGCCCATCTCTCTCCCACCCCAGCTGTGGCAGGCAGGCTTCTGTAGGCCTCTCCAAGCCAAGGACTTTGCTGATCTATGACGAAAATTTCCTGCAACGATCCTGTAAGACAAGTGCTTCCTTCTATTCCTGTGTATCAACGACCGATCTTAACAAAAGGACATACTGGGCTTCAGAGACACAGTATCCTTATCCACAAAATGAAGGTAGAAATTCTTGTAAGTTCTGCGAATATCAGAGGTTAGTCAATGTCTCGGGTGGTACCAGGCATGGATAGATGCTCAGAAATGGGAGCTGGCACCGTACATTAGTTCTAAAGAAAGACAATGGTGCTCTCATCTCTCTCCTCCTGGGACATACTTCTGTCAGTCACACGGCCAACTTGCTTCCCGTGTTCGTACAAGAACACCAGCAGTACTCAATGAGCATCAAATGAACAACAAGCAAAACCAAGTTATCGCTGCTGCAAACATTAGAGTCCACGTTATTTTCAGTCACTGACTTTTTAAATCATTTCTTTGACTTTTAAATCATTTTAAAATCATTTATTTCTCAAATCATTTCTTTTACAACAATGTAGTTTTGAGAAGATGATTAAAAACAATACAAAGCATGGCCTCAATTCTGCAACTCAAACACTAGAAACACAATACAAAGGTACTCTGCTGCCTTGAATAGCACAAACCAGAAAGGCCAATGAGACAAGGATTCCATGAAACATGGGAGAAGGTTCTGGGAAAGGAGTTTCTAGTGTTTGCTATCTTTGCACTGCTTTTCAGTTTAAGGTAAAAACGCAGTTAGCAACTTTGAGGAAAGCAATGCTTTCACAATAATCCTAAACCACCAGTGTGGTGGGGGGAGCTGAGCATCTGCGAGGCAGGCCCCTGGGGAGAGTCCGCAGAGGGACATGAGCAAAATGACTCATTCAAGGTCATACAGAACAAACTCAGGAAAGCAAGTATAATAGTTGGACAGAGAGCCTCAAGTTTAAGCACATTTTTCGACTCTAGGATTAAACTGGTGGTCTACGGGTTTTCTGAAGCCGCAGCCACCCCTTGTTTGCACGGACTGAACAGTACCTGCCAGTGCCCAGTAGGCGGTGCCCACGCACTCGTTGAGCAGGACAAAGGCCACCAGAGACATGCCGCCATTCATCATGCCCACCAGGAAGCGAGTTACTGCGAAGAACTCATAGGAGGGGGAGAATCCATTTGCAATAGCAAATAAGATGTCAAGAGCAAAACCTAGAAAGGAAGGAGCAGTAGTCAGTCATCCAGAGACAAAACAGCATTTGATGAAAGTAATAAATATTCATTCGTTTGTAAAGAAATCTGTAAGCTAAAATTTTCTGAGCTGTTTTCTTTTTTCAGCTTTTCTGAAAAACTATAAAGAAAACCTGAAATTCCCCTTTTTTATTACAGTTGATGGCTGTCAATCACGCACAGTTCTCAATTAAGAACAATAACGTTAGTGATTGAAAAATCCCAGCTCCTGGCTCACTCTCAGCGTGTCAGGAGAACCATTCTGAATCTTACAAAGTGCATTTGAAGGGACTCAACACACAAAACAGAAAGACCTGGACCCAGAAAACTGTCGTCATCTTTGTTGTCCTTAGAAACAGGATGTAAGTGAGAATCTGGGGGTCACACAAAGCGCCATCATCTAGGAAAGGCTTACATTGCCATGTCTGGCCGTCACCAGGTGTGTCGGTCACATTAACATCCTTGGCCAGAATTAACCTTGGCTGAAGCTTGGCCTCTTGCCAATATAATAAAAATCAGTTCTGCGTCCACATGGCAATTCCGTGAGAACCTTCAGCAAGGAGCCCCTTATTATTTCTCTGAGAATCTCAGGGAGTAAGTTCTCTTAGCCCGGTCAGGAGTTCGCTGACAGGTTACCTGTGAGAAAGACTTTTTTCCTTCCGAAGCGATCTGAAAGCTGACCGAAAGAGATGACTCCCACAAACACACCGCTGAAGAAAAAGGAGCTGACTGCACTGACTTTGTACGACCGGTTGGCAATTAAAAACCACTAGAGGAAGAAAAAACAAGAGACTTTTAGGTCACAAAGTAGATGGGTTGAGCTAGCTGTCAAAAAACCAAACATACAACAACTTTTCCATTGCAATATCTCTACCACATCAAATTATTATTATTATAATTATTTTGCATAAAACTGGGGTATAGGCCAGGGGCAGAGGGGGTGAGAGGATTCACTAGAGACAGATTAGGGAGCAGAAAGGTGGATTGACTGAAATCCACTGCTGAGGGGAGCAGCAGGCGAGACAGAAGAAGGTCTGCTGCGTCATATGTGGTCCCTGGCTGCCATATCACCCATTATTAACTAGAATTCAGTACAGCGCCCACTTTGGATAACAGTCAAGGTAATTTTGTCTTCAGAAATGCTAGAAATTTTTTATTATATTTTTATTACATGTTATCACTATGACATACTCTCATAATCTTTTATACACATCTTATCACAGCACTGAACATAGTATAGAAAATCATTTATGTGTCTACTGACTAGGCCCACGTCCTGACTCCCGTGTTGCTTGAGATGAGGTGCTAAGTCCCATTCATGTCCACTTCTCTCTCAGCTGACATCCTACATGGTCCATAGGAGATGATAAATGAAATATCCTTTTCCTAATATGTTAATAGTTTTAATCTCTTGAGTATTTTTCTCAAAAAAATTAAATATATGATCCAGTAAATCCACTCTGAGAGCAGTCATACATTGCCTAGTTGACAATGGGCCATGCACAATAGTGGCCCCAATAGCCTCTCCCATAGAGCTTGGTGAGCAGCAGGCTACACCACATAGGTTTGCATACACAATCTGTGGTATTCACATAATGACAAACTGCCTAATATTGCATTTTTCAGAACACATCTGCCTTGTTAGGTGGCATGACTATATATACACAAAAGAAATGAAAGCAGGGATTCAAACAAATAATTGTAGACTAGTGTTTATTGCAACATAATTCACAATAGCCAATGGTGGGCTCAACTCAAATGTCCAATCACAGATGAATGGATAAACCAAATGTGGTGTGTGTGTGTGTGTATACACATATGCAATGGAATATCATGCAGTCTTAAAGAGAGAATGGATAAACTTGAGTACATTATACTAACTGAAATCAGCCAGACATTAAAGGACAAATATTACATAATTCTATTTATGTTAGTGTGATATAGTGATTTATAATAAGAAACACATGCTTGGAAAGGGTCAGGAAAAAGATAAAATTTGCAGGCAGACAACAGATCTGAGGCATACAGCAGGGGAGGGGCACAGACAGGGGTCAAAGCAGGGGAAGGAGGAGCACAAGGGACTGTGGTGATGGGTCACGGGGTGTGTGGTGGTGGGAGAACTCTGGGGGCTACACATGAAGGGAGACATCAAATGCTGTCCAAAAATGAACAATAAAATTTTAAAAATATGTGTTTGGTCTTTGTCCACATAGCTCCTGAAACTCTTACAATTTCCTATGTAGGAACCATAGGAGCCTCAAAAAAGCTGTAATTAAAAAAAAAAAAAAAGAGCCATAGGGGGACCTTCTGCTATAATATTTAGTTTTGTTCCCCGTTTCTGAAATAGATCCAGAGCTGCAACAGTGAAGTGGGTGTCTTTTGTTATTCATAAAGGCCCCTTTCAACCACCTTGGGGTCATGTTAGTGAGGTGATTTCTGGAAAGTCCCTACAGACAGGACTGGTTGCCAGGGCAGCGCAAATGAAAGAGGGTTGGAACTTCTGCTCCCATCCCTCCAGGCCTCTGGGGAGGGGCAGGAACCCAAGATTGAGTTCAATGACCAATGGCTGAGGATTTAAATCAATCATGATTTTGTAATAGAGTCTCCATAAAACCCCCAAAGACAAGACTTCAGAGAAGTTCCAGCTACTGATGGAGGAAGAGCGGAGAGCCCAGGACAGCCTGGAGCCTTGCGCCCCCAACGGAGGGTGAGCACAAGGGAACATGGGGATGGTTCATGAGTGACATGGAGGTGGGAGAACTATGGTGACTACAACGCTGTAAGAAAAAAATAATTAAAAATAATAATATTAAGTAAAGAAAGAAAGAAACCCTATGCTCCTTCCCACATACCTTGCCCTACTCCCTCCCCAAGCTTCCAGAACCTTCTCTGACTCAGAGCACAGCTGCCTTTCCTCCTTGGTCTCCTGCACGGATAAAGCCCTGACAAGGTGGTTTCTGGACATCTCTGTGCAAAACAAAACAAATAACTCAGGGTTTGGAAGATAAACACGGCCACTTTCCCTCATTCAGGTGCTTGACTTGCAGATTCTCTGCACGTGCAATTCTGAGCAAGGTTCATTAACCTGCTGGCCTCGCCCTTCCTGGGCTGAGAGTGAGGACCAAGCACCACTACCTTTGGAAAAGGTGAGCAGGAGGCTCCCCGAGGCAGTCATTTAAATAAGGGAGGGTGATGGAGGCAGTGGGACAAAATTGCAGCATGCCTCAGATGTGTTTTCATTTGTTTATTTAATAAATATTTTATTAGCTTGCTAACAACTATTCTAAAACCTGGGACTACAGATGTGAATGAGCCAGGCATGGTCCCTGCCCTCATGGGAGTAAGAGCCATCTGATTAAAATAAACTTTAAACAAGTGAACACATAGGGAGAGGCCAGTGGGAACCTCTTCAAATAAGGTAATCAGGGAGGGCATCTCAGGGGAGGTGACATTTGTGATCTAACTAAGTGATCAGTGACGAGAAGCTGCTGGGGGAATCTGAGGACAATCTTATGGCCCGAAGAGGAGGCCACATGGGTGTGTCCCTCCAGGGTGGTGGAAGGGAACAAGGAGGTGAGTGAGATTAGATCACAGGGGGCCCTGGGCCAAGGTAAGGAGCAGGGGTTCTATTCCAGGGCAAAGGGAAGGTGTGGGACTAATGGATTTACGTCTCTAAAGGTCACACGGCCACCCTTAGAGAAAGCATCACAAGAGGAAAAGTAGGACAGCGATAGTCGAGATGCTGGTGGCTCACGCGTGGGTGGAGCAATGGTGACAGAACCACGTGGACTTGGGAGGTATTTTGAAGGCAACACTGGCAGGACTTGGTGATGAAGGAGCTGTGAAGGCAGGAGGAGAGGAGGGGACAGTCAAGGATCTCACTAGCTGTCAACTCCCGCCACTCAGTGGATGGTGCTGACCGTTCCTGGGAGGGTGAAGGCTGCCCGGGGTGTTGGAGGGTGCTGGGCCCGAGTTGGGTCTGACAGGCAGAGGTTGAGAAGCTTATCAGACACGCAAGTGCGGAGGCCATGTGGGAATCTGGATGTGAGACTTGAGCTCAAGGAAGAGGATGTAAAGGCTCCTGACCCTTACGCAGGAAAAAGGGCTCAAACAAAAACAGGAGGGTTGGGGAGAGCAGGTCCCAAGGTCACAAGAAGAAACCTGACGCACAGAGGAAGAGGGAGTCATGGCTGTCAAACGCTGCTTTAGAAGTCAAGTAAGAAAAGGGCCGAGACTTAGATTTGCAAACAATGGACACTTTACAGTAGCAATTTCAGTAGAGTGAGGATGGACAGAAGTCGAGGTGAAGAGGGTAGGAGCACTGGGGGGAGGCTGAGGAGTTACAGACAGCAGGATGGACGAGGAGGCCCCACAAGCAGGGCTGTGTGGGGCAGCCATGAAATGGGGTGTCATGGGGGCAGGGATGTGGGGTCAAAGGACACTGGCTTGTTTTTGACATGTGTGCATGATCTGGGGTGAACAGCAGAGGAGGTGCACTTGCAGGAGAAAGTCTTCCCGAGTGGAGAAAGCAGAGGGGTTAGCCCTGTGCTCACAGCTTCAGAAGGAGGAGGGCAGAATGGGGGTTCAGAAGCAGGCAATGAAGGCACGCCCGCCTGATGGCCTCCTTGTCATGGAAATAGCAAGGCAGTCACCAGTGACGGGAGAGGAAGAAGAGGGTGTTGGGAGTTTAAGGAGGAAGATGATGAGGGACCCTCACAGGAGTGGGGTGCGGCCCCCTCACAGGAACTGCAGCAGAACCCACCCGACCATGAGAAGGCGAACTTGAACTTGGCAGTTGGCATTTTTATGAGGCGGAGGTGAGTAGTTGGGCGTCCGCAGAGCTGGGAGTTCCCCAGGAGCACTACAGAGGGCAAGAGGCAGCAGGGACTTGCGGGGATCTGCAAAGGAGTGATTATCGTCACAGTGGAACAGAAGCTGGGTAAGAAAAGGAAGACGTGAGGATGGCAATGAAGCAATGTCATCACCTTCAGGAATCCCTAACCTCTCTGTGCTTCTCACTCCTGCCCTAATTGACGTGGCTGTCTCCTCAGGAAATCACTGGCTGAAGAGGCTCCTTCTCAACTGGAGGCTGCTTTTCCCTTTAGACCTGAGAGGCCGAGAAGGGAGCGGATGACCGACCTTCAAAATCTCCGGCCCAGCTGACATCACATCATCAGACTGGGGCCCTCGACCTTTCTATGGCAGAGACGTAAGTGTCTTCAGAAACGTCCACTCTCCTTTCTTCCATGGTAACAGGATGCGTCCCTGGGCACACAGCCACCCAAAGGGAAGAAGAAATGTCCGAGCTTCCCCACAGTGGGGCTGGCCACAGTATCAAGGTCAGCACAGTGAATACAAGCAGAAGCGTCACGTGGTGGCTTCCGGAAGTTGTCTTAAGATGGCTGCTCTGGCCTTTGCCTGTTTCTTATATCTCATTGGTTAGGATGGCCACCTGGAAGCTGGGGCTCCCCCTGGGACCAGGATGAAGATGGCCATATATTGGGGTGACAAAGTCAAAGCAGAAGGATCTGGCATCCCTGAGGATGCTGGGGTAGACCAGGCCCAGGACTGGCATATTTTTATAGGTTCTCCAGATGATTCTCAAAGACAACCAGGTTAAGAACCTCTGCCCAGGACCTTACCACTCTCAATAACTGCATCCACCCTGAAATTGTGAATATCCCACTCACCCTCAGCTCACCACCACTGTTGCCCACTCATCTCCTGCAGTACGCAAGCTCCCAGCATTCAAGGCCCCAGTCACCACCA